CGAGATTGTTAGCCTTCAGGGGAGGGAGAAGTGAGAGCTCTGGAGTGGCAGTCATTATCCTCTCAACCTAACCACAAATTTAAGGACCAAACTCTCGATTAGTCAAGGTTTATGCACTCTCAGAGGATAAAGAATATGATTGCTCCTATTTGGCACAATACTATTTTATATGTATTTAGGAAGGATGTTTTCTTAAATTTGATCTCATTGTTACAAAACTTTGTTTAGTCTTTATAAGTTTATTTTTAAAGTTTAGCAAATAGTTTAGTTAACCTAGATTTTTTAACTGCATTTAATTTAGCATACAATAAATTTACTTTAGATTTGTTTTTAATACTTAGGTTTTATAGTTTGAATATTATGTTTGACGTTATAACCATAAGAATTTCCAACTCCCTGTGGGATCAATACTTAGAATTCTTTAGAGCCCTTTATTACTTGAGCGATACATATAATTGCTAGGTAAATATTTCATTAAAAAATAACTAGGTAAGAGGGAAGAAGAAAGAGCAAAACTAAATATTAAATTTATTCACCATGTCCCGTATTGATTGAGTTTTAGTCTTTCAAACCCGGACTATGATAGATCTAGACTTTCTAAGATTCCTTAACCTTACAATAATAATATTCATTCACCTGACATTAACACTATATTGCATTATTATTTTTAAAATTTTTGGGAAATACAATATTTCTAACCACGCAATATGTTAATGCATAATTTAATTGAAACAGATCTTGCAATTTTTTCTTTTAAGTGTTTCAAAATAAAACCATCATATCTCATGTTTCTCACAAAAATAATTAAGACAATGACTACTCTTGTACATATATTTCGATGCAATAAAATTAATCAAACATCTTACAATAATTATAATTATAATAATTACGATGTAATACATTGCTGAATTTTCAAATAGTAATCTCCAAGCTTAATTAAATACAACATTGTTTTAAATGAAGGAGCAAATACTATTAAATATTTTAAACTTTTTCATAATTATCTACTATTAACTCTAAGATAAATTAAGTTTTTTATTAATGTATTCTTTTTAAGCATAATAATAATAATAATAAAAGAGACGCAACTGACATTGCAAAACTCTCGTCTTTCTCACTGTTTCATGTCCAAACAAAACTCTATTGAGAAATTTGAAATGGTAGCTCACGAGAAAAGACAAATAAGATTTGTAGTGTGTGAAGGAGAATGAAGAGTTCCCAAAAACTTATAGTTTCTAGTTAAATTTGTCTAGATGTTCTTTTTTTAGTAAATTTATCATTAGGGGATTTGTAACCACAGATTAAATTAAGTGAAGATTCAGTTAAGCCTAAGATGCTTAAATCTTAAGAACTCTTTCATAAGGCATGCTAAATATAATTAAATTCCACAAACTTGCTTAGAAACTTATTTCATAATTTTTAATCTATTAGTTATAATATGGATTTAATATGTCATATAATTATTAAGTTAATTTATATAATATTAAAAATATATTTAATTATGATAATTTATCATTAATTGTTTATTCAACTAATTAATCATTAATAAGAATATTATTAAAATAAATATTTATTTTACAATTGCTAAAAAATTATTGATTAATAATAAATATATATTTATTAAACTAATAAATAATTAATTAAAATTTTATTAAATTAATTGAAACGTAGTATGTAATTTAATTTTCAATTTAATAATGTAGTTATTTATCATGTCTATATAATTATCAAATTGTGTTATTTAATTTTTAATTATTAATCAATTAAAATAATTGACATGAAACCCTTGCCTCTCTTCCTACCTCTCTCCTGCCCCCGTCGGTTTCCGCCGAAACCATCTCCGACCTTCCCCTTCCGGGCTTCCCTGCTCTCGCGACGGAAAGCCCTGCGATACAGTCGAGACTAGAGCAAGCTAAGAAGACAAGGAAGACAACGACGAGATCGTGGAGTACGAAGGTCTCCAAAACTCCCATCTTTTTCCTCTTTCCGCTCCGCTTCTGCCCAAACCATTGATGAAGGTATCCATCGTCTTTCTTCCCCTTCCTCCCACCATCTTCGCGAGATTAAGCTCCTCTATATCCCGTAAATCCGTCTTCCGACGGGAGTTACTAAATCTGGGATTTAAGGCAAGTCGAGGAGACACGGGATCTAATAATTTTTTAGTTTTCTATATTTTTGAATTAAATAAAAACAAGTTCGAAAATATTTGTATTTATTTTGTTGCACAATAAATTTTTTGAATTATAGAACATTGAAAATTTCGTTTTGACAGAGAATCAGAGAACTTTGAGTTTAAATTCGCGGTTGTTTTTTTTCGAGCTTATTTTAAAACATGAAATGCACTCGGGAAACTCATCCCTCACCTGAGAACTTATATCGCAAGACCTTGATCACATATTCTATTGTATTGGAAACTCTCTCAAGAGGCTCGACTCATCAAGTACTTAAGAAATTAGTCAAAAACACTCGCAACACTTTTTATGGAACTGTTGAAAGTTTAAATCTTTAAATTAACACGTGCCTATTCAAATTTAAGTCAATTCAATTTTAAATTTGAAGCTCATAATTTCACCAAGTTAGATTAAAACAATATAGCATTTAAATTCTCACTATGTAGTCTACTAGTTAAGCAAGAGGTAGACTAATTGAAGCTAGAGATTAGAGTTATTTCAACTTATGCTCTAGTTCAAAAGATGTGAGATTATTCCATGCACACGTGCCACGAGCCTTAAGTGGCTAGATGATCTACATAGAATGAAATTGCCGCGAAACCTGATTCAAAGTATTTGTTGCATTTAAGGAATTTGCAAATAATGATAAAGCCTAGTAAAAGCTCTCATGGTAAAATTTTGGTAGGCCATTTCTCAATGCTATCAGTCAATAACTCTACTACTTAATAAGCCACAAAAAATTTTCTTCCAAAAATTAATTGATTGCATAGTTTGGATCTCCTTAAAAGTCATACAAATCGTGAATGTTTACAAATATGTTTACTTGAATGAAAAGTCAAGCCCTAAAACTCACTCATCGCTTTCGAGACAATATCCACAATTGGAGAGAGAAATTCCTTTTATAGTCTAATTTGGAGATGGCGCCTTAATGAAAATTAAAATTCTCTTGTATGATGGTGGCCATGCTGCTCGTCCAAGATGAAGACTTGTCTGATAAAGATACTAAATGTTATTTGGCTTTTTTACCCATTCCAATCGATGCTCTTATTTAGCTCATCTTATTTGAAGTTATTATTCTATTCATTTGATTTAAAAGTTCGAAAGAATGTATTAACATATGTATCATTTTGAATATTTTGATATTTCCTTCTCACTCAAACTTAAATGGGGCTTTCATTTTTATCATTATTTTATCGTTCTCAAATTTATGGAAGATATTATAATTAGCGAACAAATATACATTCATGTTCATTCGGGTTAGGCTGATCAAATTGCCTTATGAACTCAAGCCCGATTTAGCAAAGTCATGAAGTATTCAACTTGAGTACTTGGTAGACCATGTGAGAGTTCTCACCAAGTGAACTTACACTAATAACCTGTCTCGGGATTTCCTCCCCTTGAGCCCGTTAAAAGAATTTGTAACTCGAAACTTGTTTAGAGAATTTTTTTTCCATGTAATTTGTCTGACAAATCCGTTCCCACATAGAGTCTTTCTTTTCTCATAACTCATCTAGATAGTCAACGGTTCTCACATAGAATTATTTCTCATTTAGAACTTGCCCTCATACATGAGTCAACCGCACTGAGAACTCATTTTTGTATAAAACTCATCCACACAAAACATATCCTGTCCTTAGTGAGGATTCATCCCGAAACATAACTCATTTTCACAAAACTCATCATCATTTGGATCTTATTTTCGCGAATAACCATTGGCCAACTAGATTTGTCCAATTGCCAGTAAACTTTATCAAGCATTGCTATGCCATTTTATTCATTTTACTTAAATATCACTGAAATGCACTCAATCTTGTAGCCTAAACATCGACCAAAATTTAATTTTTACTTTGCAAGGACAATTTAATAGATATTCTAAGTTTTTTTCTCTTTAGTTTTCTATTTCTCTATCTGGCTTTTTTTGTACTCATTTGCAAGGCTTTGATATTGCCTTTCAATGTATTTCTTAATAGATATCTAAGTATTTTTCTCTTTAGTTTTCTATTTCTCTATCAAGGCTTTTTTTGTACTTATTTGCAAGGCTTTGATATTGCCTTTCAATGTATTTGGATTCAATAGCAGTGTAGATATATATTTTTTAAATTAAAAAAAATATTTATATTAATAAATTCTCTCAGAAGTTTTTTTCCCTCATAATTATTTTTTTCTCATTAGCTATACAATCTAAATGTATTGAGTTAGAAAAATAAATTACAATTCTAGCCACCATTTTTGAATTTGTACTTCTCACATACACTTGAAAATATTAGATCATTTTTGTTATCTTTTATTTTCCATTTTATTATTATTATTATTATTTTTGTTTTGATTTTAAACCTGAATTATGTTTGGACGGGCTGTGGTTCTGTTCTGTTTCATCAGTGCTTCCCCACCTCCATGTCCTTTTAATATTACTCTCTTTTTCATTAACTCAAACTGGAATAGGGTAAAATGGAATTATGGATCTAGTCTCAAGTAGAATAATTCTAGCAGGACATGGAAGCAATGGCTTCATATTACCAGGCAGCAACTTTAGTTGCTTTGCCATCATATCCTAACTCCCTTGTGTGGTCAAAGGAGAATTTGGTGGCTATTCCTTCGGAGCATCTCATCACGATTCTGGTGAGGAAATTATTTTATGGTAAAAAAATGATTATTATATATGATGCCATTGATGTTTTTATTTATTTTTTTCTTGTTGATTTTTTACTTGATTTGGTCACTTGTTTTCTATCTTTCAGAATCCAGCCTCACTTTCTAGTGCTCGAGGCGTAATCACACTTGTGCAGAACAAGCCTTTCCGAACAGGTTTGGTGGAAAGAAGTGGTAAGTTGGATGGTCTTATTTCTGTATGCACGTTCACTTGAGTTGCTTGGACTTGATTGAGACCGAACATTTCTACCCATGTTTTAGGCTATTATTGTTTTACCCTTTATTGGCGTTTTATACCAGAAACATGCATTGATGTGTCCATCTTTTTGCCAATTTTTATATTCTTAGATGCACATATTTTTTGGAGGAGGTGGGTTGGGTGATCCAAACCAGTGTTAAAATATTGAGTGAATAGAATTTTTTTTTTCAATATGCAACCAAGTTTGTTTATGTGTTATTTAAGTTATGTTTGTGTCGGAGCTAAAAAGAAAAGGAAGTAAGGTTGGGGGGTTGAGTTGCCCGTAAGAAGCTGTCGGTTGCCGAAATCGAAATTCCGTTCCCCGCTTTGGAAGGACATTTAATTTACACATATATACATAGTTTTAAGAAAAACCCTGCTTTGGAAGGACGTTTAATTTACACATATATACATAGTTTTAAGAAAAATGAAATCTAACTAACCCCATATTTTATATTTTTCACAGTTTAAATGAAAGCGTTCTATCTCAAATACTGTATCTATCCCGAGAGATAAACACAAGACTTGATGATGAGACTCGATCAAATAAACTAAGAAATATATGACGTCCGTTTGGTCTGCGAAAACCATTTTATTTGCCGACAAGTTCCCCTATTTAATACAAAAAATTAAATAAGATTTATTTTAGGCTAGGTTCGGAAAAACTTCCTATAAGTTAAATGACCGAAGTCACTTAGGAAAACTCTTGATAAAAATCAGTGAATACTATCTTCAAAGAGGTCAAAAGGATATGACTTTTCAACGAAATCGAACCAAAGAGTATCAAATGGGAAATGGTCAATTTCTAAACATTGTTGAGGAACCCAAATGAAGAAGAATTAGGTGAGCGTTCTATCTCAAATCCTATATCTATCCCGAGGGATAAACACAAGACTTGAGGATGAGACTCGATCAAATAAAATAAGAAAAATATGACGTCCGTTTGGTTTGCGAAAACAATTTTATTTGCCGATAAGTTCCCCTATTTAATACAAAGAATTAAATAGGATTTATTTTAGGCTAGGTTCGGAAAAACTTCCTATAAGGGCAAGCCCCTATAGTTAACAAGTTAGGGCTTAGATTGCACAGTCTGGCTGTGGAAATGCCTAACAGATAAAGTGAGGATTTATGTCGCGCTAAGCAGACTACCTCGAAATCCTATGGCTTGTTTAATTTCTAGGAAAAGAAATATTTTTGCTGGGGAAAACATGTTCTGCTGTTGAAGATGATCGTGCTGCCCACCGTGCTAGCTCCAAGCTCCTTGCCTTGACGAGTTTAATTTTTTTAGGGTGTCCAGTTACGATGTCAAATCAAACGACCCTATGGTAATAGTCCTCTAAACGTAGGACTTATACTTGCGTAACACGGTCACACAAGTCGCCTAGAAGATATGAGGTTTACGTCGTATCGGACGACAACCTCGGAACCTAAAACGAGTTAGGACTTAAATTGCACAGTCTGACTGTGCAAATGCCTAACAGATAAAGTGCGGATTTATGTCGCGCTAAGCAGACTACCTCGAAATCCTATGACTTGTTTAATTTCTAGGAAAAGAAATGGTTTTGCTGGGGAAAACATGTTCTGCTGTTGTATGTTCTGCTATTGAAGATGATCGTGCTGCCCACCGTGCTAGCTCCAAGCTCCTTACCATGATGAGTTTCAGTTTTATATTGTGTCAAGTTATGATTTCAAATCAAATGGTCCTATGCATGTAAAAAAGGGAGACATGCTCAAAGCTATATAATATAAAATGTGCAATACATGACAAACAGTAGGATGCATGTAGAACAGTAGCAGGTAGAAACA